TGGAACTTTTTTTTGCGTACGCTTGGTTGCTTTCTCTTGCATCACTTGTGCAGTGTTATTCACAGAGGCTGGATTAGCACATGGGTGTGGAGTATGTGCAGTGTATGCATATATATAGGCTTCTTGTCCAGCGCAAATGAACAGTCTGAAGTCTGTGCTTTTGCCTATCTTGTTCATTTTTAACTCTTTGTGGTTGCGCATTAGAATTTGCACCAAATAAAAACAAGTTTCTTACAGAAAACGGACAATGAACGTTGAGCCACGTTGCTTGTTTTGTTGGTTCGCATTCATAAAATTTGAGTAAGCAAAGAAAATAAGGACGTAGAAGAATACGGGCGAGAATGCGGCGCCCTATTTACAAAACGTTTGTTGTCGCGCATTCAATGGGTCATATCGTTTAACTGAGCCCGCCCACGAAGTACATTTACGACTTAGCAAAAAACATGAAAAAGCAGATTATTGTAACTCGTTTTAAGAAAGCGATACAGAAGGATGGCTCATGAACGTTTTTTTTTACGATGATATATGTAATGCCAGGGTCCACCACAGATCTGCTCACGTACTTCCGTAACAGATATGACGTTGTAAGTTTTATACAAATGGGTTGCACAAAAACAAGAAAAAAATATTCTGTAGCGGGGTCAAAGTCAATATAAATAGGGCGCAAAACTTGGAACGAAAAGTGATCTGAAACCTATTGCGACAGACACCAACACCCGCGGGATGATTCAAGTGCACCTAGGTGAGGAGAGGACAAATGATGAAAACAAAAACTAAAAGAGAACGTTTATTTTCAATTGTTACTTTCAATTGTATTTGCTACAAAAAGTAGTTTATTACTTTAGGATTAAGTCTTTGCTATGTGGTTGAGCGCCCATTTTTTTCTTTTGGTTTGAGAAACAGCTGCGACATCCAGGCAGCCTGGTAACATGGGCCAACGGTTTCGGGAGCAAATCCAGGCGATATGCTTTAAGAGCTTGCGTTTAGTTCGTTGTGTTCTTTGGTTCGGCGCATAGCAGTGTCAACGAGGCATTGCTCACTTTTCCGTAGTGGTTTTGTGCGTAGCTTCAGTAGTTTACCTATATTTATGTGCTTACTGGTGCGACATTTCAGAGCTCAACTAGCTCACAGATTGTGTAGATAGGCGCTTCTGTGACTGCTGAGTGCTTTCCCTGGCGCATAGCCACGCGCCCTTCACTTTGTTGACTATGAACGCGACGGACTAAGCAATGAGACGCTGTGTGCAACAGCTCAAAATGCAATATTTTCAAAGCTTCTGTCTCACTGCAGTGGTTTTCTACGATTGTGCAACGTGAGTTTTCTAACTGTTACGCTACTTTGCTTGTGAACAGTTGTCTCAAATTCGCCTCTGCGAAGTTTCTTGTGCGTATTGTAAGTACGTCAGTTGGCTAATAAAGTAACATTGCTTCCTGAATCTTTGGTTTTTTTTTTTGCTTTTCTGTGGCGCAGACAATTAGCGAGGCACAAGAATAAAATTGCGTACTGATAAAGGCACGTGCCAGGGAAGCTAGAAATAAAAATTTCGATTTCGTGCCATGCAGGGTGAATGCGCGACGTCGCTACCACTTACGGTTATGACGTCATATTTCATTGATTATTCTGTGGTCAATTGTCCCCTCCTGACGTAAATGGCGATGATGGCAACGAGCCCCCGACTACTAGACCCTATGGCTACTGTGGAAGTTACAATACCAGTTTAAGTATACGTTGGAATCAACGAACTCTCGATTCACAGCGCATGGTGCTAAACCACTCGACGAAGAAACTTACGGTGTCGAAATTGCTAAGGCATGGTATCTATAAATGCCATATACGCCATATCTTCACGTTTTTGGCATCAGAAGTGAGATAGCGCAAAGGTCTCGCGTCACGCGTGCTACAAAAGGTCTTCGCTTCTATCGTGTCGATGAGCGCCGCTTTCATAGAGCATGATCTCTCTTGCACGCGCAATTTTTAAACTCATGATTCGGGAGAGCCCGAACGTCACTTCACTAGCTCACGCGATCGCGTTTACGAAAGAAGCGATATGCTCAAACTCGGAAAAGTAAGAATTCAGGCAGTTGTTCACGCTCTCCCTATGCCCCGCGGCGGTGGTCTAGAAGCTGAGGTACTCGGCTGCTGACCCGCAGGTCGCGGTATTGAACCCGGCTCCGTCGGCTGCATTTTCGAAGGAGGCAAAAACAGTGTAGGGCCAAGGGCTCGGAATTGAGTGCACGTTGACGAACACCAGCTGGTACAGATTTCCAGAGCCCCTCACTCCGGCGTCTCTCATAATCATATGGTAATTTCGTAACGTTAAACCGCACATATCAATCTATCGGTGCTCTCCCTGCGTGGGTTCGCGCGTCCATCTTTCTGTATGAACAGCGAACTCTGTGTGTCGAGCTGTGACAGTTGTCTGTCCGCTCACGACAAGTGTATGCTCATTTCATGTGAGCTTTCTGCTTGAGGTGCACGCTGCAAGTTTTAGGCTGCTTGTCATTCTTTGCGTGACTTTAGAATTCATAGCTGCTGCATTTATTTCTACGACATTGGCATGAAACATCCCGCAAACGACGTTCCACTACCTATGTAAAGACATCTATTACTTTTTGGGGTCGACGTCAAATCCAACATATCAATTATTCACCTTTCAAGTTTGAATTATACAGATAGTATCAGCCATGTTTTCGTTATGCTAAACTTGCAATCTCATGAGCCTCCAATATTATTTTTTTTTCGTTTCGGCAATTGTCATAATAAGGGTGGAAGTCAGAAGCAGTAACTTTTGGACTAGCAAGTTTTTCATCGCAGAATACTTAGGAGCGCTAAAGCAAGAATAAAGGGAGGCCATGACAACAAACGTAACAGCATATTGATGAAGTGAGTGTGGATGAGTGGGGCTAAGCGTCCGTCTATTGATGCTATGTTATATTGATTCCAAAATGAACAGTAATTCCTTAAATAAAAGTAGGCAATACATTTGTTTAAACGTATGAAATAGCCACGTTTCTTGTTCAAAGTATAGTGTGGCTGGATAAATGTCAATTATAAACATCCTGGCGAGTTCTGTTTGGTGTTCTTTCGAAACAACTATGTCATATGTAAAGTATGTGTACTGTATTTGGTATTCACCCGCTTATTCATATGGGCTGATCACGAGTGACGAATTATCGAATACTTTTAATTCATCATTACAGAGCTTCGTGCTGGATACTCTTAGGCAAAATATCATGTGGTATTGGGTGAAATCACAGGCTTAAATAAAATAATCTTATTTACAGTCATACTGGATGTTTGCGTTAATGTCTCAATGTTAGCGCGTTGGATTCTGGCCTGAGTGGTCGCATTTTGATGGAGGCGAAATGACAAAGGCACGTGGGCTGTCAGTGCACGTCAAAAAGCCTCAAGTGGGTAAACTTTCCGGAGTCCTTCACTACGGCGTCCGTCATAAGCATATCGTCTTCTACACCCTAGTTACTATTATTCACATTTATTTCATATGGCACAATGAGAAAGAGAACATCACGTGGAAGTAAAGAATAAACAAACCATCACACACCTTTACTTCCAATAGACTCTTTTTGTGTTTATACACATATGCTGAGTGAGCGCAGAGAAAATAACTTGACATTCGTGGCTTCTCATCGTGAAAGTGAACGAGCATTCGAGACAAGACAAAATGCAAAAGAAAACTCAACGCAGCAAAGCAATGAATTGCACCTCTTTTCGAGAAAGCGACACCGGTTCTATGCTTGGCCCATTTGATCAACTGCCAGCATCCTATAGAACTTAAAGTTTTTTTGTCATCCTTCAACATTCCTTATAGGCAATACAATGTTGTAAATAACTAAAACAAAGACAATACCTCTACGGAATTCTAAAACGCGTCCAGTTTACTTTTGTTGCAATATAACAAATTAACTTTGAGTCGTATGATGCAGTGGCCACCGGGTGACTATATCCGTCTTGTTGGGTGAATATGGCATCCCGGAATAATACTTTTCTCAAGAGCATCTTAGCTATAATAAATTTGACCATATATATTAATAACATTCTTCAAAGTGATTCTACAGTTTGAAATTTCATTGGTTGACTAGATTATCTTTAAACTTGTGTACACAATACAAGACATACAATTCAACTTTGAATTTTTCTCCATCGTATTGACTATAGGTGCCTGCTTCATATGTGTATTTTAATGCCGAAGCTGCTAATAAATATAGGTATACTATTTCAATATTGTATTGATCAAGATGTTTGCTAGAAAGTAATGTATATTTGAAATATAAATGAAATGGTAGCATCGTCTTTCAAAAAAAGAACAAGGAGCTTCATAGCTAAAAGCTTCAATTCTCTCCTAATACATTAAGTATTCAAGTATATTTGTTAGGGCGGAACACTGACAAGGCACTAGTGGTATGTATCGTCAGTAATTACCTGGACGATCCGGAAAGTCAGTGTAGTGATAAATTGCCGCTAGGATGTAGACCCAGGTGTTTATCGCCCATTTTTCAGTGATAGCTGTAGGTAGCAAAAAATTTCGCATGGCATACTCACTCATTCCTCCCTTTTAGTGATAGTTATTGTTGAAGTACTGGATACACACTTTTTCCGTTATCATTCTGGCACATCAAAGTTCGCAGTTGTCCCCCATGCGACGCAGCCCCTACCTTATTCCCCCTCCAGCACTCATATATTATCATTTGGCTGAAGGAGCCGAGCGGCGCGTCTCAACACTGCGTCAGCCACATCCTTTTGAAGCCATCTTCGCAAGAATTTACGTCACCATAGCACATAAAAGGAGCATGGCTACGTTATCAACTTTTACTGGATACAAAAAAGCACGCGATAGAAAAAACTGGCTAGGTTGTCTATAGGGTGGACATCTCTATAGAAAGAAACTCTCTCTATAAGGTAGATATATAGTAAGGAATAACGTCAGGAGGTGTTTTTACAGTGAGATGCATAGTCAGCAAACTGAATATAAGCTTATGTAAATTCTAGTGTGTTTTCATCTTTAATAAAGAAACTAGTACACAAAGAGCATCGAAGTATAGTAATCTACAAAAACTGGTTCAAAATACGTTTTACTTAGTGCAGACGGGCAAATTATTTTTCTCATACAAGAGCAACCTTCAAGGCTAACTGTTAGAATGTTCGTAAATGTTTGAAGGATTTGGAAGGTAGATGTATGAATGATTGAGTTAACGAGCCGTATTGTCCTCGATATTTCTATTAGACGCTGTTGCGATGCCAGACAACATTGCAGGTATGTTTTTTTGTTGTTGTTTCCAGTGTTGTAAGCGGTCGTCAAGGCGACAGCTTTGACGCAGCATCCACACGGCCTTGGCTTTCCCAATATTCCTTAGCTTTTTGTGATCCATAGTTGAGAGCAAGAACGGCGTCCGCATCCATAGCAGAAATGAGTAGGGTGACTGCAAAGTTAATAAAGTTGTTTTTTTGTAGTTCTCTTAAATCTACATACACAGATGCCTTTAAAGAATACGTACTGCTTTATTGTGTGTAAACAGAAACATTGGCGTCGGTGTATTTCGGCTTCTGCTGAGCCACGTAAATTTGCTTTGCGGTCATCGGAGTACGCAGCCTGTGATCGACAGACCTTGAACTCCAAATCGCATAAGGACGAGCCACAGACAACAGATGTGTGGGTAATATTTAACACGTATACTAAATGACCTGCTTTAACACAAATTGTTGTCTACAAATCAAGGAAAATGTGACAACATCAACAACAAAAATTGAATTCACAAAATATCAATCGCATAAAAAAGTATTCAAAAGGTAGCTAGTGGATTGCCTTAGAACACACAGCAACATATATTGACAGTATTTTACATTCTTAGCCCAGTTAACCTATATTCCTGCCTACTACTACATGTATCCAAGACGTTGTTGAAGAAAAATGCCTGGCCAGCCTATCCATCTTGGATGATTTAATACTATTTCAGTCTTTTTAATCACACCGCCATAAAAAGCACTAGACTTCACTGACTACCAGTACTAACAATGGTTGTCATGTGAACTACTCTCAGCCATTATTGATATAAAAGCAAGTAGACGCGAATATTTATGGCCTATTTTGTTGGCTGCTCTGGTCCTCTGGCTCAGAGTCACCAGTTGCAGAGGCCTCCCACAAACTGAACGTGAAAGGGAGCGTAACAATCGAATACGACTACATCGGCGAATTCAGAGCGCCCAGAGCAGCGTGGCTTTAGCACCATTGTTCAGCCAGTGCGGGAATCTGCCGAATAAACAGAGCTGTGCCTGCGCCGTCTCCACAAATGGAGCCGATCAGTTCAGTGGACACCTTTGATACGTCTGACCTTTCTTACAATTATTTTTCTTTCTCTTTGTCACATCTGTGAATGTAGTGAAAGCCTTCTCAACTCAGCACGAAAATCTTGCGATTGTCCTCAAACATTTCCATAACTTTACTGCCGACAAAACTCCGCGGACCTATTATTTTTTCAAATCTAGTCACGGTATGCTATCCTGCTCTTTAACTTTCATTAGAATAAATTTTGAATTCCATGGGAAAGAACCAGGCAGAACCATCCAGTTAATGTGCCTGCTAAGTTTTTTCTACAGTGTACTGTTTACAGAATAAACAGTCTATATTATGTTGCCTTTCATAGACTTGATGTCTTTCATTCTTCACTGACATTGTTTTTACTTCAACTCTTCAGTGTCTTAACATAGCCTTTCATATTTTACAGACTCTCCCCTTTCCGTTTTTCAGAAAGCTTCTAAGCAGCTGTGTATATTCCCTTTTATTATTCAGTTCATTTCTATGACAATTTTAGTGTATAGTGCGGTAGCAGAGGAATGTAGTCAGTCTCTCACTAAGAAGCAAAGAGCCAACATTATGGTCGCTACGGTCCTCCGCAACGCACACCTGCAGTACACCGCAACGAGCACAGCATTTGCCCGATTGTGCTGTCTCGACAGGGTCGCAACGATGGTGGTGGTTTTGCGTTGACTACGGTTTGTTATCGGCCACAAAAGCAATAACTACTACGAATGCTTATCGCTGTAATGAAGCTGTGCAATGGAAGAGTATCGTTCGTACGCGGAACGTTTAAGAGCGCCAGAATCACGGCACGTGCAGGCACGCAAGTGGGTAGGTCACGTATTTTTTTGTATTGCGCGAGCATTTGTAGCTAGCAAAAAAACACTACTTAACAGATATAAAGTTCAGAACTGTGTATTCTGACGTTTTGCAAACTGATCTCTATTTTACGATTAAATATTTTATTCATCTTCGTTCCTTGAAAAGTTAGGTTATTAAGCTGGTGCAATTAAATAATATTTTGAAACACAAGCAATTGACGAAATTCTGGTAACGGTCAGAAATGTTCATTTCTTAACGTCGTAATTGCGCGTGTCGGCATAATTTTAAACTTTAGCTTGGGCACCATAACCCCATGTAGATAAAGGGTGTCCCGCATCACTTGACCCAAGAATTTGAAAATTAAAGACACTTCAGTGGCGATTTGAACAAAACGCGTACTATTCACACAAGCCTGGAGGTGTCCTGGCTATATTTTTATTTGTCCTCATACAAAATAATTAACAAATAATAATTACCAATTTTTAATTATGGACTGGCAACCCAAACTATGAACACTGAGATGTAGAGCACTTTCAGAGACGACCGACTGAATTGTTTCCTGTATGATATGTCTAGCACTGTTATTTCTTCCGCATTGTAAAGAAAACCTATAGAAGCGCTATAGCAGTACACTTGCGGTCTGTCACGTGGCTGCCATTCACATTTCCCGGGCTTTCTTTGCAACGTCGAAAAAATAACAGCGTGAGACGTATCCTACAGGAAACAATTTAGTCGGTGGTTTGTGAAAGTGCTCTACATTTATTGTTCAAATTTCGGGTTTTCAGCCCATGATTATAAACAGGCAGTTATGAATGAATAATTATTTAGTATGTTGAGAAATAAAAAAAATAGCCCGAGTACCTATAGTCTAGTGCGAGTAGTACGCATTTGGGTCGAATTCGCCTCCTAGGTGCCCTTCACTTACAACTTCTTGGCTCAAGCAGCTGAAGTTACAGGGGAAACCCTATATATATATATATATATATATATATATATATATATAAAAGGGAAAGAAGTGTATACCTAAGGGCTCGTTTTTCCGTGTTTTAACACAATAATAATGAGATATAACAGACAGTAATGCCAAGGAATGTACAGGGGAAGTTATTAAAACCAATGGAATGTAAATAAGAAGAAAGAAAAGTGGATGAAAAAATTCCCAACTGTGAGCAGGAATCGAACCTACGACCTTCGAATTACGCGTTCGATGCTCTAACCACTGAGCTATCACAGCGGCCCTCCCTCCATCCACTTTTTTGGGTTTATCTGTGAATTTAGAAGTAGGAGCGACAGTCAGCGCCATCTATAAGCCAAACAATGAGTGTTAAAACACTCTTATGCGCATGTTTGGCGTCACGTAGCACGTGAACTTATTATGAGCGGGCAGCTGATTAATTGTTCCTCTTATACAACCTAAACACACCAAGTCTGCCACCAGTACGTGACCCTCGTTAATGAAAATGAGGGAAAGAAGTATATATATATATATATATTCTGTCTGTGCGAGTGTGTACATTTTACTCTTATGACAGAGCAATAACACAACATCAAAATGAGCCAGTTTTTACTTACCTAGGGCAAAAAGTGCGCGCACAAACAGTCCAGCATGATGAGCCATCTTTGTATTGTACTCTGAAAGAAACCAATGAGACGCATATATACAAAACTCTCTGTTATCGCGTGACGCCCAAACTACTACTGGTGATTTGAAGGTATCCGGATAGACGAAGTATTTTTTTATGTCCTTCTTCACTACGACTTCGGAAGGTTCTGAAGTCTACGGCAGAAAATCTCAGCTCAAGTTTTGAAAGAAATTGTGTCTGAGAGGTCGGACACAAATGGGGCGACAACAATATTCAAAACTCTAGCGAAGTTGTGGCCTTGGTTTATAAGCGTCGCCCGAGGAGGACAGGAGACCTAGTAACAAAATCAAACTGTATCGCAGACAAAATCAACTGTAACGTCTGAGCAAGCAATGTCAACACAGTGCATTGTGCACGTGCAAAGTCTGATCAAAAGAATATAATTATGCAATTTTGCTTTCCTCAAGAAAAAAAAGACAGAGTTCATGAAGAAAGTGAGAAGGACCCGGCTGAACAGCCGAAGCATAGGGTATTCAGGAGAGAGCACACAGGCACTATTTGTAAATGGACTCTTATCTCCAGACAATAAGCGTTTGTTCTCTAGGGCCATAGTTAAAAAAAGGCTGGCAGTTCATTCGGACATAAAATTGCCAGATAAAGGTGCGAAAATCTCCCGACAGTCAAGTATTTCGCATCGCGTATGATTATGATTTATGCAATATTGCACAATGGTTGTATGAGCAGTCCAGCAGGCAATCTTTCAGTACTGTGAAATGGCTTGGTACATTTGACCTCAAAAATCAGACACCTAGTTTTTTTTGCCCTGCCACTCACTTAACCATTTCAATGCACGCAGTCTGTGCCAAAAAAAAAACATAGATGGTATCACAACTTGTTATCATCGACCAGTTTCTAAGTTTTCTGTTATTTGCATTAGCGAAAGATGGTTCTGTGCATCTCGCAATCACTTGTACACCTTCCCTTCATACTCTGTTCAATACTGCCACCACGATAACAGTAATCTGGTTGGTGTAGGTTTATTAATATTCTAGGAATTGCATTTTCACAGGCGACTTGACTTGACACTGAACATGGCAAACTGTGAATCTGTTTGGGTTCAATTCGACGAACCATTCTATTCACAGGATAAAAAAAATTACAGTGTGTTGCAATGATCGTTCACCTTTATTATGTGGCAGTACGTACTGTTCAGTTCTTGGTAGTTTGCTGCAGAATTTATCATTTGAGCATAAAATTGTCATTATCAAGGGGCGATAATAATATTAACCTCCTAGATACATCCAATACACTGTTAATGATTACATAACTGCCTAAATGGTTCTGTATATGAAAATGTAAGAACACGTCCAACTCAGTGTGCCGCAAGTAGACAAGGTACACTTATTGACCACGCACTATCGAATCTTCTTACTAACTCCTACTGTGGTGTTGACGAGGCTTCTGTCACTGATCCCTATCCAATATTTGTGCTTTTAAATTATATTCCTGAAGCTACTGTCACAGGCTTCACCAGAAATAGAGTAATTAAACAACGTTCATTGAGTTAATATCCACTACAGACTGGAACTAAGTCAACGCGTGCGATTACCCCGATACGGCCTATAATAAGTTTTTGAAAATAATTTCAAACAACCTTGCAAATTTGACCGTAATAAAGAATTACAAAAATGCTTTTTCAACTCCTCGTAACCTATGGGTACCTCGCAGTTTGCTGAATCGTTTGTGAAAAAAAGATAACCTTTATATAAAAAGAAAAAAACAGCCCTTTGATATCACACTTATAATAATTTTAAACAAATTCTAACCCACTAGGACAACTACTCAAACAGGCCAGAAAACAGAACTCTGAAAAGGAAATCGCGTGTTCTGGAATTGACGTAAAAACAATAGAAAATAATAAAGTCTGTATTGATTAGATCCAATGAGAATGCCGAAAAATTAATGGTAAGGTCGGCAGATCTCAATATTTCCATAGACATTGCAATCCGTTTTGTTAACTTCTTTCATACTGACAACCAAGGGCATGATGATGATCGACTAAAGACAATTTCAGCCCGTATGCCTCATAGCTTCTTTCCGTAACCTGCTACAACTGAATTAATAGCCACTCTCATATCTAGTTTAAAGAATACAGGGCCTAGTGTTGGTAATTTTTGGACATCTGTCATTAAAATGATAACAGGTTCAATATCAGGAATTTCTCACAGAGTCCACCTTATTTTTGTTACAGAAATTTTTCCAACCTCACTAGAGATGGCCGAAATAATTCCTGTTTTAAAGAAGGGGGATAAGTGTCACGTATCTAGCTTTCGTCCTATAGCCATACTTTCATTCTTTTGTAAAGTTGTCAATAAACTAATCGTAACATGCTTGACATCCTATTTATTTATATTTCGCAAGCTATCAACAAACCAATTCGGATTTAGAGAAGGCTACTCAACTGATTTAGCATTATTATTGTTACGGGGATTAAAAACACACGGAGAGAGAAATGAGTGTATTTCCAATATTTGCAAGTAGGTGAAAACCCCCCAAGGCTGCCAGCCTTTCGCGCGCTGAGTCCGCTTCTTCCTCTTCGATTCATCCACGATGGTGGAGCCATGCCCACTGCCTTGTAACACCACCCCCAGCGGACGAAACGCCATCGCGGCGTCACTAAGTCAATCAGGACTGGCAGCATATTACCATTTTAGCCACGACACTTTCTGCGAGCAAGTGGTCTTAGAGACAGACTGTAAGCAGCGTCGTGGATCGTCTGATGACCTTCTCATCCTTTTTTTTTCTTTTTTTCAACGTTTCTTTTCTGTCAACTTTAAACTCTCTTACCCCCTTCCCCAGTACAGGGTAGCCAGCCGGTCTTAGAACTGGCTAACCTCCCTGTTCTTCCTCTTTTAATCCTCCTCCTCCTCCTCCTAGCAGCGACACATGACTTCAGTAGGTGGTGTGGCAGAAGACGAGTGTGGTTGAACAAAATGATGAGGTAGTCGACGTCGGTGACCTTGCCGAGAACTTTGTAGGGACCTGTGTAGCGTGGAAGGAGCTTCTTGCACAAGCATTCACGTCAATACGGCGTCCAAAGTAGGACGAGAGAGTCAGCAGCGTAGTCAACGTCACGGTGCCTGTCAATATAGCGGACTTTTTGTGGGGCCTGAGAAGCAGTGAGCATAGTGTGCGCGATTTGGTGAGTGACGCGGGCTCGAGAAGCAACGTCCTGAGCATACACCGTTGGTTTGGTAGCATCAGAAGGAAGGAGTGTGTCGAATGGCAACGCAGGGCTGCGGCCGTACAGAAGAAAGAACGGAGAATATCCGGCGGTGTCATGATTTGACAAATTGTATGCAAACGTAACGTAGGGGAGCGTTGCGTCCCTGTCATCGTGGTCAGGGAAGACGTACATGGACAACCTCTCCGTGAGCGTTCGGTTGAGGCGCTCCGTGATATTTTGTCTGCGGATGATAGGCAGTAGTAAATTGATGTTCGGTAGAGCAGCTACGGAGAATTTTGTCGATAACTTTTGCGAGGAAGCAGCGGCCACGACCCATTAGACGCTGGCGTGGAGCCCCATGCCACAGAATGAGGTCATCCAGTATAAAGTGTGCAACGTCTGTAGCACAGCTACTTGGCAAGGAACGACTTATAGCGTATCTCGTCGCATAGTCAGTGGCGACAGCGATCCATTTGTTGCCTGACACGGACGTCAGGAAAGGTCCGAACAAGTCGAGGCCGACGTGGAAGAATGGTTCCGGGAGAATGTCGATAGGTTGGAGCAGGCTAGCCGTATGGAGAGCAGGACGTTTTCGACGCTGGCAGCACTAGCAGGCAGCGAAATAGCGGCGCACAAATTTATACATGCCAGGCCAAAAAAAAACCGTTGCTGCACGCGATAATAGGTACGTGAAAACTCCAGGTGTCCTGCCGTCGGAGCGTCATGCAGATGTTGAAGAATGGAATGCAGATGTTGAAGAATGGACACAGGTGTCGGAGAATAAGTAACGAAAATTCTGGGGCATCAGGCATTATGCTTCGGCGATAAGAAATTTCGTTGCGGAGGACACGTTGACGGAGCGAATGGTTGGAATGTCCTGAACAAATCCTCGCAATGGCCTTGTTGAGGGTTGCGTCCCGGCGCTGCGCTAAACCGATGTCGTGCAAATCAAATATGGCGAGCACACAAGAATTGCCCTCAAGGACAGCGGGACTAGCAGGGTCCACCGGATAGCGCGAGAGACAATCAGCATCTTGGTGCAACCTGCCAGACTTATAAATTACGTCCAAGTTATACTCCTGAACACGTAGAGCACAGCGACCTAGGCAACCAGTTGGGTCCTTGAGCGAAGACAACCAACACAGAGCGTGGTAGTCCGTAATAACTGAAAACTCCCGGTCATACAAGTAGGGGTTGAATTTCGCTACAGCCCAGACCAACGCAAGACACTCGCGCTCTGTTATCGAATATTTTCGCTCAGATGTGGAAAGAAGGCGGCTGGCATACGCAATAACACGCGTTTGGCCTCCCCGGTGTTGAGCAAGGACGGCGCTGATGCCTTGACCTCTGGCGTCTGTGCGAGCTTCAGTCGTCGTGGAAGGGTCGAATTGAGCCAGTATTGGTGGTGAAGTGAGCAGGTTGATCAGGGTGGCAAACGCAGTTGCTTGGTCTTGGCACCACGAGAAGGGTGCGTTCTTATTGAGAAGATCAGTTAGTGGTCGTGCAATTGTAGTGAAATTGCGTATAAAACGTCGGAAGTACGAGCATAAGCCCACAAAACAACGAACATCTTTGGTCGAAGAAGGCAGAGAAAAGTTTTTTCCACAGCGATAATCTAGTCAGGGTCCGGTTAGACTCCAGCAGTGCTTACGCGATGACAAAGGACCGTGATTTCTTTTCGGCTGAAATAGCCCTTTTTCGAGTTCAGCTTGAGTGCGGCTCGACAGAAAACAGCTAGAATGGTTGACAAACGAGTTAGGTGGCTTTCAAATATTGGGGGAAAAACAATCACATTGTCGAGGTAGCAAAGGCAGATAGACCAT